ATAGCATATGTAAAGTGCTTTGCAAACCCTAAAGTGACATAGAAATGTTTTTTCCACCACCCCTTACAATGTATCTATGCATATCTATAGGAGAGACAATATCGAATAGTGAATGAACGGAACGTTGGCCTCAGAATCAGAGAGACCCGGGTTCATATCCTATTTCTGACACATATTGGCTATTTGACCTCGGGGGAGATCACTTAACCGATCTGGGCCTCAGTATTCTAATCTGTAAAATGAAAGGGTTATACCATATGACCTTTAAAGTCCCTTCTTGCTCTAAATCTACGATCCTGGGTTCTGAAGAAGTTGACAAATTTCTGACCTGCACTGGCCCAGGGAATTTCCACACCAGACGTTCTCTCTGCCCATGAAATCCTAGGCCTGGATACACACATGATTACACAGTGTCATATGTCTAGAACTAGAAGGGACCTCAGATGCCATCTGGTCTAAGGCCCTCTTTTTTACAAATGAGGAAATGGAGGCCCAGAGAGGTTAAGTAACTTGTCCAAGGTCACACAGGCAGCGATCATCAGCGGTGAAATTCGAATCCAGGTTCCTGGACTCCAGAGCCAGTTTTCTTCTTTAAGCCATATTTTCTCTATGGGGCCCTTTAGGTTGTCAACCCACTGACCCCCTTTATGGGGAAAGGGCTTTGGATCATTTTGTAGGGTATAGAAATATTGCTATTTCCTAGAGACAGGAAACAAAACATTATTCTTGATCTAGCCTTTGGGTGTCAGGTGTAAGTGGCATTTCTGCTCTCTACTAAAAAATATGATTAAAGAATGCTTGAAACAAATCTGAGAGAAACAGGAGGAATCCATTAGCAAGAGCCTGCAGGGTCCTTGGGTTTACACTTAGCTTCACCTACCTCTGGAGGGCGACAATAGCAGCTTGCTCATTTTCATTCTCTGCCTGGGTTACACCCAGAAATTGCCAGGCCTGTGAAAACAAAAACTTGATGTCAATGTGGGGTGGGAACCCAGAGGAAAACCAGTCCTCCAGTGGTGTGAGTGCTGGTCCACTTTGCCCTCAGTGCCGTGGGGCGTCAAGGGTTTCTCAGCAAAAAGGGAGAGAGAGATCACGTCCATCTCTTTAAATTCTCCTGTGGCTTAGATTCATGGAATCCTGGAGTTGGTGGGGACCCAGGAAGTCAGCCGGTCTAGCCTTTAACCCACTGCATGAATGCCCTCCATGATACAGGATCCTAGTGACCTCAGCAGTCAAGTTTGGAGACAAAGGAATGGACGCCTGGGACTATTAAGTGACTTGCCCAAAGACACACAGGCAGAAAGAATCGGAGGCAAGATTTGCACCCAGGACCTTTGACTTCAGAGCTAGGGTGGAGGAGGTTCTGCTCAGGCAGAAGCTTGTGAGTACTTTTTCTACTGTACCACACTAAGTGCCACACCAGCCTCTATTCAAACACTACTGGGTCATGTGCCTGGAAGGGATTTACAGATCCCTTCTCTGGTTAGTATTGCCTGTGGCTAAACTCAAGGGAAGTAAGAGCCTTAAATGCTCATTGGAAGGTGTAGATACACATTCAATTATGTGACAATATAACATTGTTATAATTATGTGTATATATGTATGATATATACATATTCATACATTCCTTATAAACAGACACACATATTTTTCTTTTTAGTCCAAACTTAGGATCTCATCAGGGCAGCTAGGTGGCACAGTGGATGGAACACTGGACCTGGAGTCAGGAAGATCTGGTTCACCTCTGGCCTCAAACTTGTACTAGCTGTGTGACCCTGGGCAAGTCACTTCATTCTGTTTGCCTCAGTTTCTGCATCTATAACATGAACTGGAGAAGGAAATGGCAAACAACTCCAGTATCTCTGCCAAGAAAACCCCAAATGTGGTCAGGAAGATTCAGACACGACCGAAATGGTTGAATATATGGTTTTATAAGGGAAGGAGTTCCTAGTATAAAACTACATCCATTAATGCTTGTTGGCAACTTATCCACCATATACGTATATATACATATACATATGTGTGTATGTATGTATATATGTATGTGTGTGTGTGTGTATGTGTGTGTGTAGTTTAAGAGTGTTGCCTGGGCCACTGGCAGGTTGTGACTTTGCTGAGCTCACACATCTAGCAACTGTCAAAGGTTGACTTTGCCTTGCTGCCTCTCATATATCCTATTAATTGTAGAATCATAGAGATGGATGATCCCAGGAACAGGATTTAGAGTGAGAAGGGGCCTAAGAGAGACTAAGAGAGACTGTTAAATCTCCTTTCCAGATAATAAATGACTTGGTCATAGTTACCCCCTGAAAGTCAAGTCAATAAGTTAATAAGCATTTATTAAGCACTTACTGTGTGCCTGACACTGTGCTAAGTGCTAGCAAGAAGTACAAATACAAGCAAAAATACAGCCCCTGCCTTCAAGGAGCTTATGCTGAACAGAACTGGAATTCGAACCCATGTCCTTTAATTCCAATATCTAGGATTCAAAAGTCATCTAAGCTAAATCTCTCCTTTTCCACATGAGGAAGCCAAGGCCTAGAAATGCAAAATGACTTGCCCAGGGTCATATAGTACATTAGGAGCAGCCCAATCTCATCTTCAGTCCTCCTGACTCTTGCTTCAGTCACTGTAACTTCCCAGAAATTCAAGCTATCTTTGAATTTCTGAAAACTCCAGTTAGGTGCCACCAAGCGTATACCGAAAATTAGGCATTTAGATGATGAGGTCCCTAAAGGAAACAGATGCTTGGCTAAAGTCTGGTTGAAATCAGAAAGGGTTCCCTCAATAGGCAATAACAAACATTCCTAAGTGACAGGAAGATTTTTTTTTTCACAGCAGTTTCCCTCAGTGCTGACCCAAGAGCAGACTGATAAACATCTCTTCTAACAAAACCAAGGGGAAAACACTTAGATTCCCACTGAAGTGTAATTACAACTTTATCTTCCTTTCCCTCACAGGTTATTTATTGTATATGTCAGATGGGCTCCAGCATTGTGAATAAAAACTGCTGAGGATCAGTTTTTTCCCCTTCCAGTCCCCCATCTAGCCTGTCTGTGATTCCTCCTTGCCCTCCCTTTATAAACAGCCAGTACAACTATTTCCGTTTTGGCTTCATGGTGCAAATGTATTTGGAGGGCCTCTTAAGATGGTTGTGCAATCCTCTTCCTTCTTTTAGGACTTTGTCCAAGGCTTGGAATATGTCTATTTCACATGACTCCCTTGAAAGTGGGCTTTCTTGGGATCAGAGATTTAGAGCTAAAAGGGACCTTAGCCCCTCATTTTACAGATGACTCACCCAAAGTCAGTGGTAGAGCCAGAATTTGGACTTACATCTTCTGATCCCAGGCCCAGCTTTCTTTCCATTGTGTCCTATTCCATTTCTGATGAACAGAGCATTGGGCATGAAATCAAGAAACCCTGGTTCTCTTCTGGCTCTGCCACTTACCTTGGGAAGGTCCCTTCATCTCTCAGAGCTTCAGTTTCCTTATCTATAAAATGCAGGGGTTAGGCTAAGTAACCTCATTGGTTTCTTGGATAAACAGTATAGTCTAATGAATACAGTGCTAGATTTGGGTCTGGAAGAATTGGGCTAGAATTCTGCTTCAGATACTCACTATATCACTGAATGACTTTGGCTGTGTCACTTAACCCCTGTTGATCTGAATTTCCTCTCCTGTAAAATGAGGATAATAATAGCATCTACCTCACAGAGTTCTTGTGAGGATCGAATGAGATAATTGTATATAAAGGGTTTCATGAACCTTAAAGAAAGGTACAGAAATGCCAACCACTATTATCACTCTGGCTCTAAGGTCTTCAAGGACTATCAGCTTTGCATTATCTACAAGGATTTTGGTTTGGACAGTGACTCCTTCTGCTCAGATGTTTTAGTTTTCAATTTCATTTTTTAGCTTTTTTTGGGGGGCTGTTAATCAGAATAAAAGTACAACCACTGCCCATGGGGATAGCAGGTGGGTATTGGAGACAGGAAGACTGGGGGTTCAAGACCTATGACTGACTCAGTGACCTTACATAAGTCACTTTCAGTCCTTAGTGATCTAGGCAGTTCTCTAAGGTAAGAAAATGAATGGCTTATCTGTGTTCATGGAGGAGTTTTCACACCAGGAATTCCCCACATTAACAAAACACTGGGCCACCATAGCACCCTTTCCCCCTCAACTCCTTCACTACCAACTGGGTCCTCAGCAAAAGGCATCCCCTTAATACCTATAATTATCCTTGATCCCTGATGAAATGCTGCCCTTTCATAAGAAAGTGATTTCAAGCATTTTGCGTCTCCACTCCAAATAGACTTTTAATTATACCTTCTACAAGGAAGATGTTCTTGGTTCTCTCTGCTTTCTCATGGAATGGCCAGGCCTGAGGGCTGTTCACTTGGGATTGCTTGTTCCTTTTAAGCAGTTTCAACATAGCAGAACTTAGTAGCTCTTATCCTTGTGTTATCTGCCCCTTCAATGGCCCTCTAAAAGTTTGGAGGAGTATTCTGCACAGTTGGGTATTTCTCTTTATTTATCACAGTGCACTGAGAGCAGTCCTTGGCTTCAAAAGCACAAACAACCACAATCCTGTGAAGCTGCACTTGCCACAGCAGGGGACTCCCTCTCAGAGGAGTCAGACCAGGGTCCAACCACACTTCTGCTACTTACTACCTGTGTGACCCTGGGCAAGTCATTTCCTCTCATTAGGCCTCAGTTTCTTCATTTGTAAAATGAGGGAGTTTGTCTCAATGATCACCAATGTCTCTTCCAACACTAGATCTATTATCCTCCACATAAAGAGTTCATCCTGTAGCCTGGGAGCTGATGTTAGTCTGCCAGGTTGGCAGTTTGGATTTTCCTATCCCATTTCCTAATATAAATCTACCCTGACTTAAGAGAAATCTCTGCCTCTGCATCTCAATGCATCAAAGATCTCTGTCGGGGCAACCCACTCTCCTGAGAGCAGCACTTGCCCTTCAGCATTCCCACCTGCGCTCCTTCTTCCTTCCCTCTTTCCCTTTCCTCTCTTCCCTTCCCTTCCCTTCCCCTCCCCTCCCCTCCCCTCCTTCCTTCTTTCCTTCTTACCTTCCTTCCTTCCTTGGGTCAGTGAAAGATTAAGTGGCTTGCCCAAGGTCACTATGTACCAGTACATGTCAGAGATGCGACTTGAACCACAGGCTCTCTGATTCTAATGCCAGATCTCTAGCCACTATACAACATCTACTTCACCCACAGCTTTTCCCTGAAGATGAGAGGAGATACCTCAGCATCCCCAGGGTCCTGAAGGATCGCTGCCTCCATAAACAGTATAGTGACAGGCAAGTCCCCTTCCTTCAGCCTTTTCAATCCTTCTTCAAAAGCTCCAGGCCAGTCTTTGAAAGGATTTTCTGTGTGAAAGTAGTACCCCTGTGACACACAGAAGAAAGAAGTAAATGATTTATTCATTCATCTAGTCTGAGAAGAGACCTTAATTCTCTGCATGCCTCTTTCAATGATGCTAAACTACTCCCAAAGAAGTCTATTTTTTGAGAATTTATTTTATCCCTTTGATGATGTGTAGCTAAGAATTATGGAATATTTCACTCTCAGAAAATTCAAACTGTATCTGGCTAAAAGGGCAATGGAGAGAGGCATGGCAGATGTATATACCAGTAATGTTTTGCATGTAAAAATGTCATGAAAGATATCAGGTATATGTAAACTGGGCCAGAAAAAGAGGTGGGCCAGACACATTGTAAGAGTGAGGAGTTAACAGATGGACAGTCCAAGAATTGTGCTACTTAGCAAATAATCAACTAACCTTTCTTAAGTGCCTGCCCTGTGTCAGGAACTGTATTAGGCACTGGGGTCTGGGAAACAAGAAAAGCACCAGAGGAGGACTTCAGTACCTTGGTTAGCTCCACTACTAAGTTTCATGAAAACATATTACAGGATACAAAGGCATGTGATCTGTACTTTAGATGGAATGCTTATGCCAAAGAGATCATGACTTCAATGGAATATGAAAATATGCCTACACTTTTTCCAAAGGGTGGGTAACATGGTAGGCATTTTAAGGAAACTTGGATCCAAAGTTTTTGGTTTTGTTTTTAAGGCATTAACTATAGACCTGGAAGTTCATGAGTAGTTTGCTTGGCTGTCTGCTCTACTTATTCATTTCCTGGGAGTTCCTATCAAGGGAATTTCTGAGGATTCCCCTGAAGATTTGATCTTCTTTTTATTTTAAATGTTTTTTTTGGCACAGATGGAACACTTTGACAAGAGCATCTGTGACCTACACAAAGTCAAAATGTCACTCATGTCATTTGCCTCCTGTCCCCCACCACCCCTCTTCCTAAGTAACTGACAACCTTCCAGGAGCCACCAGTATGGTATCTTGCAGGCAAGGTTTGCTTGACTGATGGGGGTCAGAGGATGAGGACAAAAGGACTGTGGAGTTATCTTTATTCTCTGATAACCAAGCCTCAAAAGGAACTCAGGGCTTAGAGATCAGCCAGAAGACAGGCTGGCCATATCTTGCTGCTTCCGTGTCTGTCAGTCAAACAGAAATGAAACAAAAGAGGTGAATTCTGGTGTGGCAACCATCATGAATGGGAGTGATTTTTGTGGACTTTTCCAAGAAAACAACAATAGCAACAATAACAACAACATTCCCACTAGCTCAGTGGTTTCCTGTTTAACTCCAGACTCTTCTCCAAAATAGTGGTGATAACTTAGGGCATTGACATGTGACCTCCTTTTCTGATTCTCATTACAATCTCTTCAATTTCCCCTGCATTTAAGGACCTGTCTTCATGTTGCATTTCCCACTAAAAAGCACACTTCATGGAAGCAAAGTCTGCACTGGATTGTCTTCGTACCTAGCACAAAGCCTGGTGCTTAAGATATGCTTATGGAATTGAACTGAATTGCATTGAATTGAATTGAATGGATGTGTGCTATAAGGGAAGAGAAACACAAATGGTACTGTCCAAATTCTGAATTACCTTCTCACTAGCTGAAATCGTCACTTGATTTTGGGCTTCTTGGTTCTCAGATATCCAGTTTCTTCGAGCCATTTCTTCCCATTCTGCTTGCATCTTATCCCAAAACTCTGTGTCTGACTAGGAGACAGAGAAGATAGAGACAAATTTAAGGAGTTGCTAGAATAGGTTTTGATTTATCAGCAAATGGTTTTCCTTGTATCCATCCTTGTCAGGCCTGTCTCTCCTGAGATTGCATCTCTCTCCATCCTCCTCTTTCATTGTGCCCTGATTGTGTCCAATTCTGTTAACATACTGCTCTTACTATTTGACCTGTGCCTTCCCCATGAAATTGCTTCATTTTGTACTAAATTTTGTAGGTATGTGTTATTTTCCCCTAATAGAGGGCATGCACTGTTTTCATTTTGTTTTTGTATTTTCACTGTCTAGCACAATACCTGGCATGGAGGAGGTGCTTTATAAACATTTGTTGACATAAAAATTGAAAACTTGTAGAACAAAGTTGAATTGTAGTCCTGGTGGAGCTGAGAGAGATGCTACACTGAGGCTACTTTCATTGTTCCCAAGATAGAGGAGCATCCTGGTAGGTCATTAACATCACTGCTGTTGCTATTATTGTTGTTGTTATTAGTGGCAATAGCAATAATACTATTTAGCATTTACATAGTATCTTAAGCTTTGCAAAGCACTTTATGCACATTATCTCATTTGACCATTACAATAATCCTGTGAAATTGGTACTATTATTATTATCACTATTTCAATTTTACAGATAAGGAAACAGAACTGCAGAGAAGCTTAGATACTTGTCCTTGGCCATACTGGTATCAGAGGAAGGATTCAAATCCAAGTTCTTCTGATTTCAAGTCCAACTGGATGACTATAATGTTTGACTACTAAAGACTATTTTAACTAATAGGAAGCCATCTATTACCCAAAAGGTCAAAGATTCCATCGAATCTTATTTCTGAGGAGCAGGAAAGGCAGTTGTTAAACATTTGTTGTTCTAGAGGACCATGGAAACATAGAATTTTAGAGCTGGAAAGGATAGTTCAACTCCTCCATTTTACAGGTATGGGTACTTCATGAAGATAAATGACAAGAATGGAGTTTCATGGTTATGAAGTGGAAAGGAAGGCTTCGAACTCAGGTACCCTTTCAGTGGTAGAAAGAGGTCTTAGGTGTTGCTCCAGGTGGAGTTTTGGAAAGGGATCCTGCACCCAAAGCTGTCCCTAGTATATCAGATTGCCTTGATCCCATACCTTGGGAGTGGTCTCAAGTAACTTAGCTAAAGGAGAAAAATCAGTAGCGAAGAATGAAACAATTGTTACTTGGTACTTAAAAAAAGGAAAAAAAAAAGAAGAAGGAATTCCTGAATTGGTTGAGATATTGGCCCAAAATTCCTTGCAACTCCACGATTTAAAGATATGAGGCTCCTCTTATAAACTGTTCCCCTTTGCCAACACCAAGGCAAATTCAGTGAGATTGTACCTTGCTTCTCCTTCTATCTTTCCTTCATCCCATTCTTGGGTAGCACTTTGCCCTTGATACACATTTTAATCTGATTTAATTTCTATAAAACTGTCTAGGGAAACATATGTGCTTTGCTCTAGGCCACCTGCAGGTCCTGCCCTCAGTCCCCGACTAGCCATACAACATCCTATTTTGTAGCACAGAAGGACCCCTCCTTTTGAGACCCTCCACTTAGCAGCAGCCTTCAGGGCTAACAATTCAATTCATGTAGAAAGAAGAATCAGAGCTATTGCTGGCATACTAGCCCTTAAGGCAAACAGCATGAAAAGCTCCTTAAAATCAACTTTAAAAAAAACAAATTCAGTTAAATGTGAGGCCAGAGAAGAGAGATTGAACAAAGAGACTTAAGATACAAGGCCCTGTGTGGGAAGTAGAAGAGATTCCTAGATGTCAAGGGCTTGTAGCTGGGGAGGCCACAACTGGGAGAGGTAGCGGGAAACTGTCCACCTGGGGTAGAATGACTGGGCTGGGGGAGGATGGGGTGAAGCAAACCATCTGGTACCTTCCTATTTATTCCTATTTTTAACTAATGGTTACCGCAAATACCTTCTATATATAACCTCCCTGATACTCCCAGCTGCTAGTGCCCTCTCTTCCCTGCAGAAAGAACATACCTTGTAGCTAGTTTGCTTGTTTTGCATATATTTATTTATGTACATGTTTTCTCCCCTGAAAAAAAAAAAGCTCCCTGAGAGCAGGGAATATTCATTTTTTTTCTTTGTATTTCTAGTGCCTCACACCATAGATAGCACATATATAATAAGTGATTAACAACTGCTTAGTTGACCTCAGTGTTAAATTGATTGCTTAAGAAGTATGAAAACTATCCAGGCCCCCAAGATTTCAGGACTCTGGAACAAAACCCCCAATGCCTCCCCCTAGTTCTAGCCCTGGGAAGAATTTATTGTAATAATAGAAGTTTGAATTCCAAAGGACTCATGATGAAGCATGTTATCCACCTTCAGAGAAAGAACTGATATTGTCTGAATACAGACTGAAGCATGCTATCATTCTTCTTTCCTTCCTTCCTTCCTTCCTTCCTTCCTTCCTTCCTTCCTTCCTTC